GGGAAGTCACAAAAAAGTGGTCCACTACAAAAATAAAGCTCTGTTTTTGTTTAGTATCCTCTGGAATTTACAGACAAATTGAAACATTCTGGAATACTTTTTTAGGACTCTAAATTTGACTATTTTTCACTGAAAAAGTTAGAAAAATCGATGTTATATATGCACGCTACACAGTATATCATAAAACTTGTCAAGTTTAAACATGCCAGACTAGAAACGGGTATTGTTAATTCGATGAGATGGAATTGTTGACCTAGTTTCTTCGGGTATTTCAATCATTCGCTCTTCTTTCTCTCTTTTCACATTTACGTTCACTTTTGATTCGCACTGGGTGGGTATGTCTTGTTCATTTATATGTCTAGTTTCATCAGTTTAAGGGTTGCTAGAGAAGAAGCATCGTTTTTATTAGAAATTACAGAAATTATGGTAGCTATGAAACGGTAGACTTATTTCAAAAACTAGTCTTATCAGATCAGAATCAGTTCAAACACTCCCAGAGACGATTATGATGGTTAAGAAACTGTTAACTTTTTCTCTCGAAAAACTAGTAATGAATAGTAAATTTTCCACTGCATTGCTGAGTGAGTAACTCTCAATTTTTAGTACACAAATGAACACAATTTGAAACAGTATTATCTTTGATATGTTTAATTTTCCCCCCAAAAGTTCTAAATGAACAAAAATGATTAAAGTTATGTGTTGGAAAACAAGAATTTGTTGAAATCTTTTAAAACTTGCAGTCCTAGCTAAAATGTTGGAGTTAACCTGATTTTCAGTAGTCGCCAAATTGAGATTTCAAGAGATGAAATTCCGTCGGACGAAACAATATACTTTATAAGAGAGACCAAATAAAACCATTTTGAAAAAAATTTTTTTTTTTTGAAAAAATGATTTTTTACAATAGAAAAAAAACTTTGAAATTTCAGGAAACTCAGTTCCAAATTTCTGGAAACTTCGAGAGGGATTTTAAAATGTTAAAAAGGAAAAATGGCAACAAAATTGCAATTACGGAGTAGCTGTTAAAAACCCAAAAATTTGTTTTTTTTTTGAAGATTCAGAACAACGATTTTTTTAATACTGTATTCCTAACTCAACCAGAATATCATACTTCTGAAAATGAAAATTTTAAAAATTTCATTTTACAATAGTTGATAATTCAATTCGTAATGCAGTAATTTAAAAAAGCATACATTTTTACGACATGGACAAGTTTAAAGATTTCAAACTTTGAGATTTTTTAAGTATGAATTATGAAGATATCAAACCAAACAAAACCAACTTATCCGAGGTTAAAATATGAAAATTCTGAAACATAAAAAAGTAATTTTCATCATTTTTAAAGAGCTAAGTATTATAAAAGCAACGAAAAAACGAAGAAATTCTTATTTTTCAATTTTCAAAGTTCTCAAGGAAACAATTAAATTGTGAAACAAAAATCTGGATGAATGCGAAAATTACAAAAAATTTGAAACATTTTTTTTTTTGATTTTTAAAACTTAAGAAATTTCAAATTATATTTATTAGAGGAATATGGTAATATTGAATGTTTGAAAATCAAGAGAATTAAACCAACAGCTCGAAAATCTCAAACATTTGACGATTTTCTAAATTGGCGCATTGAAATCCTTCTAGGTTTCTTCGGAATCGAATTTTTTGGAGATTTCAAAGCTTTGTCTTTTTTTCATAAAACTTCCATAACAGTGGATTAAAAAAAAAGTATGTTTCAAAATATACATATTTTGGTTTTCTTTTAAATTTGATTATTGTATTAAACATTGAAATTATAATTTTACGATTAAAATAATTGTTTTGAAGTAAGCACCTTTCAGAATGACTTCAAGAATTCTACTTCCCATAAACCAAAATTCTGAAACAGCGAAATTTAATCAAATCAAATCATTTAAATATGTTCAAACTCAAACGACAAAAATTTCAGCTGAATTCAATTCATAGAATTAGAGAACAAAACAATCCAGTATATTGTGACAAAGAAAACTAGAAACTGGGAAAAAGAAGAAACACAACGACTGCAATTAACTCTATTTGCCATATTTGGGTGGTGGGCGAAAAAAGGCAGAATGACCGCAGTTTTATTCTAGTTATGGCCACTTTTTTGACGTTTTTCTTCTTTTGAATGACTTTTTGAGAAAAAATGATTTGCATTTTCAGAAGTTATATTTTTTAGAACCTGAATTTCGTTTTTCATTGTTTCTGATCTTTTAGTGAATGGTTCCCAAAACTAATATTAATATGAAAGCAAATCGAACTAGTAGAACGACTAATAGTTCTTTAAAGATTCTCGATGTCATAACAAAATTAAGAAACATTTTAAAAAATCGAAATTTAAAAAAAATCGAAGCTATGGAGCAAACTCTATCCAATTTAGAGATGATAAGATACTGTAATTGTTTTTTTAAATAAATTTTTTTTTTATTTTGGAAGAAAAAAAAATTTCACACTTGAAACGACATCTAGGATGTTGTTTTCATAATAAATTCACTTCAACCAAATTTATCTCGGTTCCTGTAAGAGATATCAAAATGTAGTCGACTAACAAAATAATTCTGATGTTATGATAAACATTTTATCAGTTGGCTATTTTTTGATATCTCCGATAGGAAACAAGATAAATGGAGGGAAAGTTTCAACTAACTGAAAAAACATTTTGCAGTATCACAAGTTACATATTTTGGAACTAATATTACAGTACTTATTGAATCCATAAGAAATTTTCAATAGTCTCCAAGAAGAACATTTCTTTTAGTCCCACCAGTTTTGAGTAAATTCCGTTCATCTTGTGAAGTCGTAAATTTTTGTTCTGAAAAAAATTGTGAAAAATTATTTTTTCATATTTCATAACTTTGCAATAATTGAAAATGAGTTCCAAGAATCGATAATTTCAATTTAATTTTTCAATCTATCTAAATTTGATTTTTCGATTCCAAACTTTTGGAAATTTTGGTAAATAATGATTTTGAACTTAAAATCTGTAATTCTCAATTTAAGAAAATTCTGAAAATTGTTTCTTTTTTAGGTTTCCTAAACTTCTCCTTGTAACTCGAATTCATTTCTAAATTTTTCCATTTTCATAAAAATCATTTTTGCAAGTCTTGTTGCCCTTTTTGAACCTCTTTAATGTTAAAAAGACCGGTTTTTGTTAATCATTTTCTCCCCAAATTCCAATTTCGTCATTCTTCTCTTTTCCTATCAATCCCATTTCCTATCTATACAATTTTTTTCGTCAATTTCCCACCTCTTCTTCTTCTTCTTTTTTTTTCTAAAACTTTCTCTCCTTGTATACAGATATTGATTCGGGGGGTGGCCTGTATCGAGGTCACTCCCTATTTTTCGTTCCCCTACTAATCTCGCGATTATGTTCATTGTATGAATGAATGGTCACTATTATGTGAAAATCATTTTTGTATATTTAACTGGTTTTTTTTTGTAAGAAAAATGTGAAAATAATCTTGTTATTTTGGTTATTAGAGACTGTAAAACCATTAGGTTCTTCAAATTTGATCCAATTTATCTCAGTTCTTGTTAAAGATATTAAAAAGGTTTCAACTAACAAAATATTTGTTATATTATGATAAAAATTTTGCCGGTTGACAACTTTTTGACATCTATCACAGGAACCGAGATGAATTGGCTCAAAGTGAACGCTTCCGAGGGAGCTACACGGTCGAAGGCTGCTGCTGATGTCTATAAAGGAGTACTGTAGCCAAATAAGAAAGTGACTTTAAAGTAGTTAAACTTCAAAATACTTTAGTTAGTTTCCCTTACGTTCCAAATCTTTTTTTCGAAACTTTATGTTTCAGTTTAGAAGTATTTTTCTGAAATTTTCTTATAAATTGTTTTTGTGAGAACGTTCGGAACTTTTTCGGTAAAATATTTTCCAGAATTTTCTAAACGGTTATCATTTAATTGTTTGTTTTTGCAAATTTAGAAAAATTCCCGGTTTCAGATAGCTTCAAACATAATATAATTATAATTTTTAGAGATTATTTGAAGACCATTGAGCTTTTCTTGTATACTTCAACCTAGTAAAAGTTAACAGTTTCAAATGAAACAATTCGAGGTTAATACTGAAATTTTCAGTATGATACTCTTCTCGGAGTTCCAAAATATTAAGTTTGATGAAGCACTTCGAACTGTTTTTCGTTGCCAAAAACAACATGAGTTCCTAAAATTTTCAAAAAGTTTCAAACTTTTGAAACGAAATAATGAACATTTTCGAGAACTCCAAACCTCAAAATCCTTACAGTGATCATATTAATTTTCAGTTTCAATGTGGTCATAAATTTTCTGTTTCGTTCAAAATTTTGATTACTTGGTTGCATTTTGGACGTATCTCTTCAAATTTTTATCAAGAATTTACCAATTTTATAATGAAATCAATCTACATATCTTATATACTTTGAGCTTAACTTATGTACTTTTAGCTCAACTATATCGCTTTCTGTAAGATGTATCAAGGATCTGTGAACTACACAAACATTGTTAAGTAAAACATTTTGTCAGTTAACAGATTTTCGATATCTCTTACATGAACAAAGATAATTTAGCTCTATATGATCGATTCCACTCACCCCCAAAAATAAAAAAATTATGTTTCTTTTATGTCATCCTCACAAACTTTTCAAAACTATTTTCAATACTACGTCCGTTTTTCGATTAACTGATTCTCCTCAAAAACACATTTTTCAGTAATGGCCGAACCATCGAATCCTAAATCCAACCTTCTCCACACAATCTGGACGAATACTGAACACATTCTCTACAAGGCCCTCTTCAACCGTTTCACTCTGATCGCCTTCTACGCCTTCTGGTTCCTCTTCGGAGTTTTGGTCCTTCGAAAAACTCAAAATGCAATCACAGCAGTGAGATATGTAAAGACCCACGGAGAGTCGGTATCCCTTTCTTCTATCGAGCAGTCCAGGGAGTTTGCGGATCTTATCAAAACGCTTGATAAGAATTTCCCGAGACCTCCAGCAATATTTTTACTGAATCAGTATGCTTTGAATATGACTGACAACTTTTTATGCAACACTGGAACGTTGGAAGGCGTTCATGAGCGGTTCATTTTTGTGACACTGGATACGGTAGCAAGGGATACTATCAAGAAACGATGGCCACAGATTCAACAGTTCCATTGGCCAACGCCTTCGCTTTATGTGAGTTTGAAAAATATTTCATTTGCATATACATTTTGTAACGAGTTTCAAAAATTGTCTGCTTCAAAGATATTGTATTGAAACAGGAATTTTTGGTGATTGTTAATAGTAAAGATATTATCGAAAAATCTTTCTTATATATGAAACGCTAGAGATGTCTGTCGGTCCTGGTGTCACGTTGTGGACTTTTGCAAAGCTTGAAAAATAAGTATAGATTCACGCGAAACGTGAGAGGCAAAGCGATGAACCAATAAAAAACTAGATTGAATCGCGCCGAAAGCGCCCAGCTTGCTGGTATTATCATAAAAATATGGATATTACATGTTGCTATTGGTTTCACGTCGAGATATTATCTATATAGCTCAGCCTCCAGTTTTTTTTGTTCGCAAGTTAAGCTTTTTTGAATGGTTTCATTGGCAAAATTATCTGGAGAACAACTATAGCAGAAATTGACTAATCTTTCGCAGTTTCATGTATTCCAGAAATTTTTTTTTCAAATACCGCATCAATGAAATTTTTCTATTTTTCCAGAAACCATTCTCCTTCGCCGAAGGAGCGTATCAAACGATCTATCTGCTCAGATCGAATTTGGCATTGGCGTTGATCAAAAAGTGAGTTTTTCACAATTTCTTCTGTCGTATTAACACAAGTTGAAATACCACGGTCCATACTTAATGGGTGGAACAGTGAAAGTTGTATTAATTTCAGCTTTTTAAAGTTAAAAATTGCTTACTTTGGACTACAACAAAAGCTTTCCAGAATTTTTCGATTTGTTTGCAAATTTTTGGGTGTACCAAACAAAAATCGAGATTCAATTTTTTAGTCGACACCTTTCTTGTACAAATTCATCCAAATGAGATATACCGCTTCGCGCAGATCTGAACTCAGTTTTTTAAGCTGTTCATTTCATTTGGATGAATTTGTACAGAAACGTAGTCAAGCACAAAACTGGAGCTCTATTTTTGTTTAGTATAATATTAAAAGTTTTAATCTTATTCGACAGAATTGATATTTTCCTATAATGGTTCCAACTAAATATAGGTAAAATATAATAAAATTAAATATAAATGTGAAACACGGAAATTAGGTAGATTTTGGAAAGATTTTTATTAGAAGATTACTTTTTCACAATGTTTCTAAACCAAATGGAATAAACACTTTCCCCGATTTCGTTAATCGACTCCTGATCACATTTTCTATTAAATTTCAGAGGAAAATCCTTCTGGATGATGCAACAAGACACTTTCTGGCGAAAGAACATCTTCGACATGAACTACGAAGACAACATGGCGTACGACGCAATTTTCGACCAATTGGGAAGTGAGGAGGAATCATCAATGAGAAAAGAATGGGTCAACGGAGCCAACTTCTTCATTCGAGCCAACAACGACACCCAGTTGTTCTTTGAGAGTATGTCCGAGAAATTGGCACATTGGTATACACCAGATATGGGAATCATGATTCAACAGTGTCATACTTGGAAGAAACCAGTTTGTGCTTATATTCCGCATAAGTGAGTTAAAAAATATACAATGCCATCGGTTGAAAGAGTAGTTCATGAAAATGCTATGTTTCATAGAACTGATATGAAACATTGATTTTTTAAATCCGTTACTGTTTTTATAATAAGATCGCCATACAATCAACATGGTCAGGATGCCAGGTATTAGTGAGTTAGGGGTCTGTCAGGGGTCCGATAAGGGGTTAAGGGTCCGGTAAGGGTCCGTTAGGGGTCCGGGCTCCGTAGAACCTTCATGGGCTCATCCACCATGTCAAAGTTATGGGACCTTACTTTCTTTGTTACGAATTTGTTAGGGTTACGTCCTGGTAAACTTTCCATAAATATCTACCCTGAGAATTATATAGCTGATTTCCACTGTTTCAAAAAAACTGAAACAGTGAAACTTTTTTCACCAGTATGAGCTCGTCTAAGCCCTCATTTTTCCAGTGTCGTCTACTCGTGGGAATGGATGTTCACCGAACAAAAGGACCCACCGTACCTGATGCAATTGGACTGTGAAACTGACGGAGGATCGAAACTGATGCAATTGGGACGGTATGGATTCCATTTTGTCAATCAAGATGGAAGTTGTAATGATCAGAAGGTAAGTGGTCTTGAGCAGAAAATAGTTATTTATGAAAATTAATTTCTCTGTTTCAAGAAGTTTTCAATGACTGGGTTTTTTAGTCTCATTAGTGCATTCTTCAATGTTGAGTAAATATCCAATTAATCAAAAGATTGGAAAAATTTTTACTGCTTTTGTGAACTATGAATTAGTATACATAATCAGAATTTTAATTTTGTTCTGCCAATAAGAACCTTTTGAGAAGTTGACCATGTGGGCAAAATATTAGGGATGCCGAATTTTTGAATTTTTCATATTTTAAAGAAAAATTCAGATCATAGAGCTTGAAGTGCATTTCTACTGTGGTTGTCTATTAGATTTTTTGTCTTTCAATGGTTGAATAACTAAAAAAAATTTTATTAGTCATTCTTTGGCTAGTTCATTAAGCTCTTCCAAATAACTCCTCAATTTTTGCAGGTCGCTCTTGCCAAAGCGAAAATGGAGAACGGAACCGTCGAAGTGCAGATGACGAAAACGCTTCCATCGTGGGGACGTCTTCAATTCAAAGCCTACTGGTACATTGTTGATTATATGCTATGGACACCAATCATTGGAGAATACCTCAAACCATATTTGGCAATGATCGGATTCATTTTAATGATCACTATTTGATTTGTTCTTTTTGTCGCAATCTAGTTTTCTTATCAATTTGACAAAACGGGTAGATGCCTTTGCTGTTTATGAAGTGCTCCGGAATATTTTTTATGTGATACAGAAGTTTTGTGATTCTGAAATAAACTGAAAAACCGAAAGATCAATTCAAAATTTCAGTAGGTGTTCATCATAAACGTTTCTGTTGGCACGGATCCCGAGCAAAGAAACAACGGTCCGAGGAAGCGGCGCCAGAATGCACTTAAAGAAGATATCAATCAAAAGAAACGTCTAACCAGGAGGAGATGCGTTGTAAAGGAAGAGAGCTAGAATAAAATACATAAATATTTTTAAAAAAACTCACATGTCAGAAGAACGGAAACTTCAAACTGGCAGAGGGGAGGAGAAGAGATGAGTTGAGAGCATCGAAACAAGTAGAGGAACAAGGCGCAGCTATCAAGATGAAAAAAAAACTCCCAGAAGAAAAATTATTTCGTTCAGTTCATTTTTTTCTTGTGATTTGAGATACTTTGTTTTTTGAATTTTGTTGCTGAAACTGGTAGATGTATATTTTTTCAATACTCTGGAATAATTTTCTATGTGATCCAAACATTTTTCTGACGTGAGATAAATTGAAAAATCAAAAGTTCAAAAAATCGTTCGACATTGTTTAGAAGTGTATAGTTTCAGTAGGAGTTACTCATTCGATAAACGAATTTTAAAAAAACGAAAAAAAAAAGTAAACTTTTGCAGTATAAAAGAGACGGTCCAGAAAGGACAGAGCACCTAAGATGCGAGCGATTTGTCTTCTGATTCTGCTAATTTCGTTGGTGGAGTCTTCTCCGACTGTCTCCGGTTGTAAACGTACCTCCTTTATAGATTCATGTTTCGGGGTAAGGTTTACTGTAGCTTCCTTCATTTTTCTCACTTTCCATTTTTTTAGCTTATCCCAGCTAACATGTGGAGAGTTGTGCCCAAAGAGGAATTTGAAGCAAAGAAACCGAAAATTCAAGAATATATAAATTGCATAGGCAATTCAACATGTGGAGGAATACGAAGTTTGCTGAAAACGGAAAAAACTAGAATTGATATTATGGAGAGAGCGTCTGAGATTCATGGATGCCTCGGGAATGTGAGTGACGATAAACTTTCTGTTTGAAAAGACTGAACATTTTTTTCAGCGGACCTTCGATAATCACAAGGCAGAGTGTAGTTCTGGGGAAACAATGAAAGGATGTTCGGAATACTCGAATTGTTTAGTCCAGAAAGTGGATAAAGAAGAAAAGTGTTCGCATACTGACGTGGAAAAATTTAAGCAGATAGCAATGGCGATGACAGAGCTGTGCAAGATGAAACTGGACTAGAACGAGAAATTCAGCGGAAGGGGACAAGAGAATTGATAGTTTTTTGACAATTTAAAATGTTGTTGTAACTTTCTGGTAATCTGAAATGAAGTTAATATTTTTGAATTCGTCTTTTTAAAACCTTCAAAATGTGTATAAACATACCCTACTCACGAAAATTGATTTATTCTTACTCCCCCCTATGTGCCATCAAATTAGAAATTTCAAATTTAAAATACACAGGACCATTGTTCAATTCATCCTTAACGTCATAAACCCACTTCAGTGGGAATCCCTGAAAATCGGCATTTTAGACTGTAAACTTTGAGGGATTGTTACTGGACAAAATTTGATATTTTTTGCCAATGTTTTTTAGGAAATAATTTTGATCCAGAAAATCCAATTTCAAACATCCAGGCCTCTATATTTTTTAATTTCATCCTGATCAGAAACCTTTTTGAACATACTTGTATTTTCAAAAAAAAACACATAAGTGGGGACCCTTATGTGATTTTTTTCGACCAAGAAATTTTTTTTCGAGTGTTTCGATCTTTTTTGATCAGACAGACAAACAATCTGAAATACGAAAAAAAAATGGAAAAAATTATATTGAGAGCTCAAAATTTGGCTCAAAAATACTGAATTTTTGACACCGGGCCTTGAAAATTTCCTCAGGCCCGGCCCGACCCGGAATTTTACAAGTATTTTTTTGAATAAATTGAAAATCTAAAGTTCAAAAAACTATAATATTTCAGTTGCCGTGTCTCATCAATATTTATGTCTAAACCGACGAAGAGAGCTGCTCCAAAATCCACTAAAGCCATGAATCGAAAGAAGGAGCCAGAAAAGATCAATCAAGAGAAGGAGCGAGGAGAACGGAAAGGTCGGACCAGAGTAAAGAGCATAAATATGTAGAGAGACAGAAGTCATTCATTTAAATGAAGCCAGAAGTCATCAATCAAGAGAAGGAGCCAGGAGAACAGAAAGGTCATTCTGGAGGAGGAGATGAGAAAAACCAGAGGAGGAGATGGAACAAAAAGCAGCTGTCAAGATGAATGAAGGCTCCCAGAGGAAACATTCTTTCGTTCAGTTCATTCGTTTTTTTTTCTTGTGATTAATTTAATTTAATTTTTAATTTGTTTATTGATCAGGTGTAATAAAACATTAAAGGGCAGGACATGAAAGACTCAAAAAAATGCCCCTCACGAGGCCGCTCTGAGTAGAGGAGGGGAAACGGGATAATTTAGATATGACACAGGAAAGATGTAACCAGTAGAAAAAGAAAAATAGGGAGCAAATATATCAATAACGGGTAATACTGGAAGAAATTAAGGATTCAAACTCGGAAGGTAGGAGAAATCGGGTAACTTGGGAAGTGATGGCGTTCCACAGGGGAACAATTGAAGAAAAATAGTCAGAGGAGTAGGGCTGAACAATAATTAAGTTCATAGGGCGACGAGGGGAGGAGGAGTATTTGACATGTGCATTTAGGTTAGGAAAGTAGGCGGAGCCATTTAAAAATTTATAGAGAAGAATTAGTTGAGCTTTTAGCCTACGATGTCGAATGGAGAACATATTGAGGATAGAGAGACGATCAGTATAGGAACTGTACTGGATATTACAACGCTGGAAAATTCACAAAACTATGATTCTACTGATTTTCTTGGAGTTTTATTTGCTAAAAAACCATGTTTGCTTAAATGTATAACCATTTCAGTAGATGTTCCTTGTAGTTTTCTGTTTCAAATGGTTCAGATTTTATTATTGAAACACATTTCCTATAATTTATTTCTGGGACAGACCCAAAAAACATAAAATTTTTCCAGTACAAAAGAGCCAGTCTTAAAGGAGCCGAGCACCCAAAATGCGAGCGATTTTTCTTCTGATTTCGCTCATTTCGCTGGTGGAGTCAGCTCCAACAGTGTCGGATTGCAAATATGAAATATTCGAAGCAAAAATGTGTTGGCAGGTAAGCAAGCTTAAATTGTTTATCAAATTTCTTAATATCTTGGATTTTTTTCTTGAATTTTTATCACTTGGAAACATCTCAACTGTTTCTGAGAATGACAGCTAAGGTATGTAGCTAGATAAAAACTACTGTAGTTCGCAGTTTACCCTTTCTTACTGTACAAAGAAGTTAACAAATTTCATTCTACTTAAAACTTATTCAAAAAAAAACCTTTCCAGCTCATGCCCGCGAGAAAATGGAACATTGTGCCCAAGGAGGAATTCGCCGCTAAGAAATCAAAATTCCAAAATTTTTTAACCTGTCTGGGAGAACCGAAATGTGAGCTCACACAAAATTGGCTGAAACTGAAAAAATCTATAATGGATAGGACAGAAGGAATGTGTGAAAGCTATGGATGTCTTGGAAATGTAAGTGTGCTCTTTTAAATGGCATAAAAATCAAGAATGTAGCACAAAAGCTACCGTAGTTATGAAGCAGTTCATTGAATGATGAAATATGTTATCTAATTAAAAGCATCTTGAAACTTAATTTTTTTTCGATTTCAAAATTTCCATTTTTTTTCAGGGAACCTTCCAGAAGATCGAGTACAAGTGTCAGAATGCGGAGAAGTTTATCAGCTATACGGAGCAGAATTACGCTAATTGCTTAACTGAGAACATCAGAAAAGCACCAAAATGTTCTTCCACCGATTTGGAAGCGTTCCAGAAGGTTGTCAAGTTCAACGAAGATGTCTTCAAAACGCAAGATCTGTATATAGAGAATCTCAAAAAGCTCCGAACCAACATTCGAGGATGTCTTTTGGACGTAAGTGGTGGTAAATGAGCGAAACCCTAGAAAAAGAAACCAAAAGTTATGAGGTATTTGCTCAATTATCTCAGTTCCTAGAAAAGATATAAAGAATTTGTCGCCTAATAAAATGTTGGTGATATTATGGCCAATTGACGGATTTTTGATATCACTTCAAGAAATTGAGATAATTAAACTCAAAGTTAAAAGTATGGGAAGAGTGGTCTTCTAATACAGGTCTTACTGTAATTTTCAATATTTTTCTTTTAGAATAATTTAGAGATACCAATTTTTCAGATAGCCTACGAAAGACACGAACACAAATGTCAAAATGAGGAAAATAATATTGACCGTGCCGAACCCGAATTCATGAACTGTATGATTAGGAGAATTGAAAACGCGGAAAAGTGTACGGACACTGATTTAAAGAAGCTGAAGGATGTTCTGCAGATGGTAGAAGCTCTCAAGAAGAAAATTGGTCATAATGAGCAATATAAAAGAATCGAAAGTGAAAAAGATGATGAATACTTAGTTGACTTTTGATATTTTGAATTGAAATAAATATTTTTGAATTTGTCTTGTTAAGAGCTTCAAAATGAATATAATCATGCGCTATTTTTAAAGAGATTTGATTCTCAGACACCTTATGCGCCTTTAAACTTAAAATTTTGATTTCAGCTATGAGCGGGGACGAAAATTGAACTTTTATAATTTTTATTTTGTAAGTTCACCTCAACATTTTCTACTTCCCATTTACCCTGATAAACCCTTATCAAACAGAGAACGAAAAGAGTCCAAAGTCCCGATATTTTGACAGGTTGTTACGGAACTGGACCAAAAAAAAAGAAAAAAAGAAGAAGAAAAAAGCCAAATGTATAAAAGTGTCGGCTGTAAGTTTGCTATCAGTTGATTCTCCTCTTCGAAAATGCACCTAATTTTCATTGTTCTCTTTTGTTCCTTCGTTTTTAGAGTATATGGATTCCCCGATTCTGCGGTGAGATGTCATAGGGAGTTATTTGTTATTGAGCAGTGTTTTGAGGTGAGTTGCTCGTTTTTTAGTCCTAAAAAAATAGTCCAGAAATTTTCGATTTGTGTGAAAACTTCAGAGTGTACGTAACAAAGTTAGAGCTTTATTTTTGTAATTGGAAATTTTTTTGACACATTTTGCGTTTTTGAGATATGCGCCAAAATTCAGGTTTGTTTTCAAAAAATTTATCATTTCATTGAAACATTAAATTTTGGACTTTTTCAAATTAAAATCCATCGATAGATATTTGTCGGAATCTCGGAATATTCGGAAACCCAAAAGTACAAATGTTATAGTTTCGAAAGTTTCTGAAGCTTTCCGTTATTTCTGAGCTCTTGGAATCAAAATTTAGTATACTAAAATAGAGCTTCAATTTTGTAGTTCACAACTTTTTAGTGACATTTTGCGTTTTCGAGTTATGCGCCTTTAAAAATAGTGCGCGCTAGCTGGGTGACGGAAATCAAAATAAACATTTAAAGGTACATATCTCAAAAACGCAAGATTCCACAAAAAAGTTGTCAACTACCAAAACAAAGCTCTATTTCTGTTCAGTATACTTTTAAAATTTTCAGAGATATCAAAGAATTGTGGACCACATTTTTAGGGCTTCACAATTTACCATGGCTAATTTTTTCAGGCTTTTCCATTCTCCTCAAAAAACTGGGAGGCCCCAGATTTTTATGAGGATCTGGAAAACTACGACTCCTGGAAAACATGTGTATCTCCTTCCAAATGTTCAGAAAGTCTTAGAAGAATCGAAAAAGTTAAGACTTCATTTGAACTACACAAGTTTTATGCTGACAATCTCCAGGAATGCTTAGGATCTGTAAGTTCTCAGAATTTAAAAAAATCAACATTTTTCATTTGTTCAGGGTGTCTTGGAAAATCTAACCCTAACTTGCAATCAAGATTGCAATCCAATGGCATATTTGAAATGTGGAAAGAAGTTTCTGGAAGAACAAGACACTTGTGATCCGGCGGATATTCAAAATTTTGAGTCGCAATATGAGAAATTCGAATTGTTTTGTAAATTGAAGCGTTCACACTGAGTAGTTGTTTTTCATGAAAACTGGAGAATGAAGTAAAGAAAGCAATAAAAATTGAAATGTTGTTGAAACTGTATTTTGTTTTTGAATATCTGAAAAAACAATGCCAAATCTGAATTTTCCAAGGTGAGAACTTCAAAATGAGCCTAAACTCGATAGTGTTCTTTGCAATTTGAAATTTCGAGTTTAAAGGCGCATAAGAGTGCCGAAATTCCAATTTATTCAGGCTTGTTTATATTCATTTGGAAGCTCTGAACAAGGCAAATTCAAAAATAAAAATTTTATTTCAAAATCTCAAAAATAAAATCTCCTTTAAATTTTAACTCCTTTAAATTTTTCCTTGTGGTCGATGTTCATCTGGCAAACTTCAACCATCGACTTCATGATTTTTTCGAACTTCTCGGCGTCAGAGGACGTACACTTTTCATCTGTGGCAATTTTCCCATTCAAGCAGGCTGAATATTTTGGGTCCAAGCAGTTGTTAAGTTTTTCAGAATGCTGGCACTTGAACTTGTGATTCTCGTAATTTCCCTAAAAAAGAAAGATGTTTCGGAATTGGAAAAAAAATTGCCTCTATCCCAAAATAGAGGTGGGCAGCTTCTGACCAAAAGCTGTCCAGGATCCGTCCAAAAGCCGAACCACCTTAATTTCCAGCCAGAAATTGCAAGCCGACAGCAGAGGTATTAATCAAAAACCCATTGAATGGACTTAATTTTAAAAAAAGCTTGTTACCATTCCGAAACAGAGAAAAGTTTTAATGTTTTTCTTCTTCTTCACTATCTAGTATACCTTCTTATGCTTCCTAATTAAATATTCAGACCCTTGAATACTCAATTACCCCTCCCCTTTTCCCATAGACTATACAATTATTTGTTATATTTACACTGAAAAATGAAATTTGAGAAGATGTGGTCAAGTGGAATTCAAAGAAGAAGACTCATTTTTTGCAATGGGTTACCTAGTGAAATTCTTGTTTTTTAAATTAATTATTTTCTCCGAATATTTTGAAAATACTGATGGAATCACAGTGGCCGAGAAGTTGAAAGATGTGATTATGAGAGGTAGGGTTTCATAAACTTAATTTTTTAAAGTTTCAAATAGTTGAAGAAAATTTTTTTAAAGGTGGGGGGACAGGAGATTTTACGGGGGATTTTTGGGGCCAGAGTATGCATTCTACCGTAACGGTGTACAACGCTTAATGTCACTCTGCGTACAGCGGTCGTCCTCGCCTTTATGTATGCGATCAGGCGCCTGCTCCAGTTTCGCCCGCGTGGCTCAGTCGGTAGTGGCGCCGCACCTTCAATACTCGCCTCGACAAGTTCAACTCCTCGAGGGGCATATTTAAACAGAATTTCGAGAACATTATTCTTTCATGTCCCCCCACCTTTAAAGTTGGAATTCGCGCGATTTTACTCGCCGGGTGGCATAGAAAAACAAGCGAAAAAAGCTCGTATCCTAGAGATTGGGATTTCCTGAAAAAATATATAAATGACTTCAAACTTCGGAATAGCGGTTTTCAATAATCTTTTTTGGGAAACTTTTTTTAGAAACTGCAAAAATTCTGAAATCCGTCCAAAACTTTTAAAAACTATAACATCAAAAACATCAAAACATAAACACAAGAATATATATTTTGTGTTTCTTGAGATTGTGATATATTTACTTGTTTAAAGAAACTTGTTTTTGTTGCGTTTCATGGGAACGTTAGTCAACTTTGAACATTTAATAAAGTAGTACAGAATTTTTAGATTTCTCTGAAATTTTCAGAGTAGAGTAAACAAAAATTGAGCTTCTAAATTGCAATTGGCACCTTTTCTGTAAAATTACATCAAAGAGAGATAAGCGGTTTTAAAATGGCACAACTTTTACTTCAGTGCTAATTTTCCTACTTTAAATGACATATCTCATGAGAATGGTAATTGGCAAAAATGCTGTCAAAAACAATATTGAATCTCTAAATTTGTTTAGCATGCTCTCAAAAGACAAATGAAAAAATTCTGAACCACTTTTGTAGAACTAAAAATTTGGCTATTTTATACTGGAAAAGTCAAAATATGATATGGTTTCTGTCAGAAGCTGTATGTTTGCATTTTTCTGTACCTTAATATTTTTCAGAAGTTTTAGATTTGAAAACATTTGCATTTCATTGAAATCATAAGTTGTCGGATTTTTTTCAGAGTAGAATCAAAAACTTTTAACTTCGAAATTTCAGAAAATTCTTAATTTTCACCATGAATATGGGAACTTCTGTAATCAAAATTTTCGAAATTCTTGGGACGTGCTCAAATATTTTTTAGGTCTCAATACGAAAGGCGCAGTTTTTGCTATGCGCCTTTGAAGATACTGTTCTCTATTCTTTGAAAATTTGATTTTCTAGGCCCAATATTTCCAGATTTTTGAAATTCCTAATTCTCAAATTTTTCGGAACACCTTTGAACGAATTGTCGAGAAGTCGAGAAATTCAATCGTAAGAACTACAAAAATCTAAAAAAAATTTGAAATTTTATGAAATTGACAGGCGATATTTTTACTATTTCAAAATGTTCAGAATTTAGATGAACACATTTTGATATTTTTCACAGGAACCTAGATATCAATTTAAGTTTTGGAGGCCTAATTTTCAAAGTAAGCTTGTAGCTTTTTTTCCAGGCTACGACAATTCGATCCGTCCAGTAATCAATGAACGTGACGTCTTATCCGTCAACATTTCCCTAAACTCAATGTCAGTTCTGGTTCTGGATCCAGCTGAGGAAACGGTAACATTCTCCTCCGAATTCATACTCCAATGGCAGGATCAGTTCATCTCATGGAACAAATCCGAATACAATATCACATGGCTAAAACTAAAAGAATCATTCCTTTGGACACCAGATACCACTGTATCCACTAGCATCAACACCAATTATTTAATCGATTCTGATGAACGTTACGTGTCGGTGAAGCATGATGGAACGGTCCGACAAAGCATGTATGCGGTATTTGTGAATTTATGTGATATGAATGTGGACAAGTTCCCCTATGACGAGCAGACATGTATGGTGAAGATTGGTCCGTGGACGTATACACTTCAAGAGGTCACCTGTGTCAGTGGACCTGATATTGAACCGAATGAAACTTATTTCGGGGTGAGTCAAAAGATACAGTGATGTGAGGAAAAATTATCGAATTATTCAAATAGTTTCAAAACAGAAAAAATAAGATATTTAGATTTTCAAAGGAGGGAGCGGGTATTAATTCTGAAATGACAGTGCACAGTGATTTGAAGTTTTATAAGTAAAAAAAGCATTTCCTTCAGAAAACGACAAATAACTGAAAAACTAGGAATTTCAAAAAATTCTGTGAACTCTAAAAAAGTAATTTTAAAAAAAGAAAAAATTGTACTGTATCAATTTTGCCACAATTTGTGAAACGGTTTCTAATTTTTGATCAGATCATTGTTTTGTGTCTGGAACAGTACCTTACTGTAAAAATTAAAAACATGTAGATGTCCTAGAAAAATGCAAAAAGTTAAGCCACAAAATAAAAAATGTTTCCTCCTTTAAGTTGATTAAACCGTTTCAAAACTAGCGTAATTGAGTGAGGGCGATGATATGATAGTTTTTTGGGCTGACTAATTCTGTTAATATAAAAAAGTGGCCAGCTACGCATTCGACCGCGGAGTCCGGCTGTCGAATTTGGGCCGAGGCATTATTAGTTTAGGTACTTCTGAAATAGGTAGGATTCGGCGGCCTAGCGGCCCTGATAGTTTTTGGCTGGCTGAGCTTATTTTTCAAAGAACGGACTGATTGGTCCACGGTAACGTACCGACGGCCTCAATCACGGCCGGCCGCGGGCCGACATTGTCCATTAACAGGGTGCAATATGTAGTCACAATTTATACCGTTACGTCAAATTGCAGACTTGGAAAACACACAACAAATCGCGAAAATATAAACTGGATATTTTAGGCTATTTGTGAAACTGGGAATTTTTATTAATATTTTTGGAAAATTTCTGTTTCAGGAACTCGTTTTTCAATTTTGGTTTTATTTCCAAATCTGTTACTTCGACATTTTCTACAAGAAGTTCAATGTGCAGTTTTGTTTCCTGGTGTACTGTTATGTGGATATCTTACCCCTTTTAACACATATGCAATAGAAGGCCAAACTATATTTGCCTTTTGAGCTCAAATATCTCGGTTGCTTCAGAAGTTATCAAAAAATTGTCAACTGATAGATTATGTATCTAAATATCAGTAACATTTTTTCCGTTGACAAATTTCTGATATCTCTCATAGTAACTGAGATAATTGAGCTCAAAGCTTAAAAACAACCGCGTAGCTCAGTCGCGGCCCTCACTAACGTTCTCTTGGCAATTTCGACACATTGAGAGACTTTCAATAAACCGAAATTCCAAAAATGTTTTTTTTCTTCATCTTCCTATTTTTGAGCACCATCATGATATCAAATATCAAGACATGATATCAATCATGATATCAAATATCATCATGATATCAAATATCAAATATCATGGTATCAAGGCCCAATATCAAAACCATGAAACAGTTATTTTTCAATTTTTTCTTCCAGGATTTTCAGGGAAATTCCGAATGGGACTTCGAAGGAATCATCGCGTCAGTGGGCCAAACTGAGGATCCAGATGTCAATTTCACCTTTTCAGAAGTTCATTTTGCGGTGACTTCACCATAAATTTCTGGAACTTCCCTCATTTCTTTCAGCTAACCGTGAAACGCCGACCCCAATTCTACGTATGGGTGCTGCTGATCCCAACTTATATAATTACTGTAGTTTGTATATTTGGATTGTTCACATCGACAGCAAATCATGGATTGCGAGAGGAAAGAGTCAATTTGGGAATTACGACACTTTTATCATCGGCTGTGATTCTTCAAATTGTGGCTAATGCAATGCCTAAGACGTCAGAACTTCCATTGTTAGGTTAGTTGTTAGGGAAGCAATAAAAAAAAATAAAAATTGACAAAAATTACTGCTTCAAAATTAGCGTAATTGAGTATCCGCGTTGATAATTTAGTTCGCAGTGAAAAGATGACGATAAATGAGCAACTCACATTTTATTTTCAAATGATAAGAAATTAAACTACATATCAGATTCTTGATATCATATTTTTGTCACAAGTCCCTCACAGAGTTGAACGACCGAGCTACGCGGTCAGGGATTGATGAAGTATATATAGGATAATAGGTTAAAACTACGACAGGATATACAACAGATCAATGTACACCACTACGCAAAAATGCATACTTTCGTTATCTAAAATTTTAATGTTTCACATCCTTCACTTATTTTACATGCTAAGATATACCATAGCTTCCACCAACTTGGGTAATTAAAGGAGGCAAAAGATTTTTCGGAGTTTTTTTGAGTCACGATATGCATGTTGCTGTGACGGTGTACAGTGTCGTTGTTCACACAGCTTGTTGTTCTGTTTATTTTTCCGCTTTCAAATATGAAACCGGACGGCTCAGTATCTACAAAACTTCTATGTTTCAAATCCCACACTCACTCTGATTACTAGAACATCTTATTGCTCTCGTTAACTTTGGTATTTAAATATTTTCCAGGCAACTTCATTCTCGCCGAAATCTTCGTCGTGGCCATTGGTGTCCTATTCGCAGTGCTGGTCCTAACTCTTCATCAAAGAGCACATACTCGAGAATGGAAACCGCCGGCATGGATGTTATGGATTCTTCGAATGACTGGGTCATCGAAATTTCTATATAGGAATATAACGAAAATACGGCATAAGAATAGTACAGCGGAGAGGGTGAACTATACTGGCGAAGGGTGAGTGGTTTATAATGGCGACTAGCACTTTAGTAAAGTTGAAAATGGGTCCAGAAATTGTGGGCACTTTGAAACAGTGAATTTTACTAATTTTTTATTTGAAATTTTTTTTTCTAGAATCATAATTACAGTAACCATTTTCAGCGCCTACTTATTCGGAAATCTGGACGAATCACTTCAATCCGTTCGAGAATACATCCAAGAAGAGGATCGGGACTATTTCCGAGAGCTCACTTATATCAAATTCTTTGATAGACTCGATTTCCTTCTTTTGGTCATTTTTCAAGTTGGAAATGCTTTGGTTACACTTTTCTTAGTTAAACAATAGATGTTTTAATAAATGTATGTTATTTGTTAATTTTGAAGTTAATCTTGTGGATCCGAGCAGCGCTGCCTACTTTTTGATACCTATTGCGGGAATGAAGAAAAATAGATCAAATCTGGAAGTCAAAAAAATGTCGGTTTCAGGTGGTTATTATTTCAAACATTTTGTAGTTTCTGCTATTGAACTGTTTTTTATTCTTTGTTCCCGCAAAGTTTTCTTATCACTCCAAACTGATAACGAAAAAATCCAAAAAAAAAACTCAGCTGTCAAAGTCAAATGCTCAAAATGTGAACTCTTTTATTTTGGTAATAAAAATGATAAAACCCGGACTCTTTTTTTTCCTAATTTTTATGATTTTTCTAGATGATAAGATGATAAGAAGAAGAACAAAAAAAGAAAATTGGTTTACATAAAAGAGAAGCAGAGAGACAATTTGCACATCGTCAAAGTGCCAAAATGGAAACTGCCTTTTTCAGTTTTTTGGTTTTTGAATTTCTCGTTTTGGGATTGGCTTATTCTATTCGTCCTAACACTAAACCAAGTCATTGTCATTTGGAATTGAAAAAGTTGGAGATTTGTAAAAGGGTGAGTTTGAGAGAATGGATTGAGAGAATGGAGAGAGATAGAGAAATAAAAAATCTAATTTCAGTGTTTCAGATTTACCCCATCGATCTGCCTAACTTCACTGACGAAACTGACTTAGATGAAGCCGTTCAGACCCTCAATGGCTTCTCAGATTGTGTTGGAAATGATACTCAATGTACAGTAACCAAATTAAACTTGAAACTGCTCCGAGCCCAATTTTTCATCGCTTCCAGAAGAGTCGACATGTACCAATGCTATAGTAGTGTGAGTTTCGGGAAAAAGCAAATTTTAATAGGCTTGAATGGTAGTCCACTTTTCATATAATTTATTTCGGTTACTGTAAATGATAACAAAAAGTAATCAACTAACAAAATGTTCAACTATTACAAAACGTTCAATTATCAGTAACATTTTGTCCGTTAACCATTCTTTGTTATCTCTTACAGAAAATTGAATAACTCAGCTCAAAGTTAATCGTCTTTTTCAGCCCTTTTTCGAGCAACTCAAAAAGTCCTGCCCTGGAAGATGCTCGGAAGCGGACCACTGGAATTGTGTAATAGATGGATTGAAGGACGCCAAGGCTTGTTCAGATGGTTATATTGGAATACTGTATGATGATGTGGAAATCGGATTTCTAACTGATCCGTGTGAAATCAAAGAAGAATTGGAGTACGAAATGAAACTTTATTATGGAACTTAACAAAGAGAGAAAGCATTTGATTATTTGAGTTTTTAATAAAGTGTCAATTTGTCACTTTTTATTGTTTTACATGTTTCAATAAAAACATTATAGTCTTTTTTTCAACGAAGGCCTTTACTGGCCTGATCAATACTACCAGAAAAACTAAGCTCTCAGAAGCACATGCTCGAAATTAAAATGTAACGATAGAAAACTGTTCCAATCATGAGATAAGAATGATAACATACTAGACACCGGATTGCATTCGGAATTTCTCTGACGTGGACTAGCTAGATTCATGAATAGTATGTGTTAAATGTGAAAAAATTTGAAAAAAAATCATGTATTATCGTTGTCTGAAAAAATGAAGGTTGAGACGCAGAGAAAAACTTTCTCCGTCTCCACCTAATGTGTGCTATTTAGGCTTGCCGCTTCGAGGTGCCTACGGTATACAGACTGCAAATAATTTCTCTCTAACCTTCATTTTTTCTGACAACAATAATAAGAACTTCACTTTTTTCCTCTTTTTCCTCTAGGGTACTCAAATTCCTCTAGGGTACAACATTTATGAAACGGACAAAAAATGTTTTTTTCTGACTCGTATCATTTTTAAATTCATGATTTTTGAGAGTATTTATCAAATTGACTGTTATTGCTTGATTCTTTTCTTCACATAAGATTTCAGATGTGAACAAACTTTAATTTCTGTTTAAATGACTGCATTTTTTTTCTCATTATAGATAAATTTGTTTCGTCGTTTTTCCCCACTATTCCATTTAAAAGTAATCAATTTATTTCTATTTCCTATTACCAGATGTGTCATTCCGAAATATACAATTAAAAATGTCATGTCCGAATTCTTTGTATTCCTGATACGGTACGTCTGCAATCTCCTCACAATTCAAAACGCGTTGATCATAGACATACTTGATCTTTTCTAATACGGCTTTTGCCAATTTTTTACCAAATTTCGAATCTTCTATTGGAACTATGGTGAAGTTTGCATAATTCGGATCATTCAGCCATCCGGAACCAAGAATGTTGGATTCAGTGGTACGGTAGTGTCTGGAAAAATTATAAATAGATGAATCCTTTAGTAATGAGAATCAGTAGAGATAACCAAGCAATAAAAATCTGAAACTGTATTTTTTCTGAATTTTTCTCAATGTACCCAACAGCCTTGCTTGTAACTTACCTTATCAAAGCCACGTCACTATTCACATACTCGGCTACACTACCCGGATATCTTTGATACGCCCAGTGATAATACATTGCAGCAATCTGAAATCTTACTGTAGCAAAAAAAAACAAGATTTTGCAAAAAAAAAAAACCTTCTCCGGTCGATAAATAGTCTTATAGGCCCCCCAAGTCACTGGAGATGACACATTGTACTTGAGGAATTCCATTTCTGATATTATCTGAAAAAGTGGTTCAGACACTATGACGTTTCACACCGATGACATTTCGCAACTATGACAATTGGCAACTATGAAATTTCACAACTATGACGATTCGCAACTATGACATTTCACAACTAGCTATACAGTCATATGCTCGGCTCTTACCTGCTCTTCACTCTCATACTTCTCAGGAAGCTGTCCCGTCTTCTGGATCCTTCGAATCGCGAATCCCACCTCTCCAACTGTATCGTTATAACCATTAAATAATTCTAGAACTGATTTTATTTTGGGATCCAAAATAACCAATCTTTCATCAATATCCACATTGATTACCCATTTTGAATGATGCTTACTTCTCTGATGGCATTCCTGAGAATCAGAATTTTTGGGAAAGGTGCGAATGGAAAAAGAGAATTTCAAATTCTCACATTTATCTGTAAAAGATGAAACTGCCAATCCACATTTCGATATTCTGATTGGATTACGGTCAACTCGATTTCACCGGTTCTTAAATTTATTCTGTATTCACTAAAAAAATGGCAACAAAAATACCTCTGATACTCATCCAAAATCTTTCTACCGTACTCATTTATATTGAAAATTGTGAAATAAAAATGACGAACTCCAATTAGTTTATAGTGTTCAATAAACTCGGCCACTTGCAGCCATCGGTTTTCGGAGCCATATATTGGCCCGACACAAACGGATATTTGGTGGGATGGGGCTGAAAAAAAACTGATTGGGTTATGGTAGACTAGGGTTCCGAATTTGAAAAAGAGGGATGAGTTTTTGCCTGAAAATGAGCTTTTCATGTAGCTCATTAAGGCTCATTTGATTTTGAATGAGCTTTTTGAAAAAATAAAAAAGCTCACGCGACTCTTTTTTAGTTTTATCGAAAAGCTCATCAAGGCTCATGAGCCTTTCTGTGATTTTTATTAAGAAGCTCATATGGCTCATCATAAATAAACAAAGAAAAGAAATCAGAAAAAAATCATTGAAATCATGGAAAAATCATGAGTGGCCATGGAATACTCTAAATATCAAGTCATTTCTAGGCCATTTTAACAAGGTGGCCTACTATTGCATGTTGAGTTCCCTAGGGCACCTATTCTATGGCCTAAAAATGTTATAACATTCACCTGATACGTTTTCTAAGTCATTTTAACGAGGTGGCCTAGAAAACTCATCTTTCAAAAGTTAGGCCACCATGTGAAAATATCTTAGAAAAAATAACAGGTGAATGCTACACGATTTCTTCGACATAAAAATGGTTGCCTAAAGAACTCAACAAGGAACAGATAGGCCACTGTGTCAATATAGACTAAAAACATATTAGGTGTATGCCAGACTATTTCTGGGCCATAAAACTTGATGGTCTAAAACTCACTTGCAAAAATTAGGACACCAAGTGAAAAAAAATGGCTTGATATGCACCTAATATGATTTCTAGGCTATTTTCACATGATGACCTAATTTTTGCAAGATAAGTTTTCGAGGCCACCATCGTTTCTGCCCATCAGGGCACTTGATTAGTTGAATATTTGGCTAAAGTGTTTGTTGAACTATGCTTCCGTGAGCCTTTTTTTTTGAAAAAGAGTCGACGTGAGCTTTTTTGCAAATGAGCCTTGATGAGCTTTTATCAAAATCAATAATTACGTCAAATGAGCCTATATGAGCTTTGACGTAGAGTTGAAAAATATTGAATGAGCCTGCTTCATGGTGAGCTTACGTAAACTTAAGCTTATGACTGAGCTTTTTTCGGAACCCTATGGTAGACACCTATTAGTATACAAAATTACGCCAAAATGCGTACTTGGAAAGTTTCTTGTTATAAAACTATCATAATTCTTTTCTTCACTGATTGCTCTAATATGTAGGGTCATTCTTTAAGAATCATTATCTCGGTTCCTATAAAAGATATCTTAAATCTGCCAACTGCTAAAATATTGCTGATATTATGATAAACATTTTATCCGTGTACAAATGTTTGATATTTCTTGAAATAATTGAGATAATCAAACTAAAAAAATTACCTGTTCCAAAACTATCATTATTGTTTAATTTTTCAAATGGTTTACTTTATTATTCTCAGAACCCACTTCCAAAATTCCTATATATCAATGGAATTGGTTCCTGTGTCTTCTCTGGTCCATTCCCATTTTCTTCCAACCCAATCGACACATATTTCGCCCCGATTCTCCTTGGACAACGAATGACATTCATTGGAAAGAAAACGGATTCGTATCTCGAATTTTCAATCTCTTCTCGCAGACAATCATAGTACATACAGCTGGCGTTTTGGCTGCAAAATGAGAGAATTTCGATGATTTGTATCAAAGAGGAACTATTTTTCTTATAGCATCGGATTGTTTTAAAATCCTCAAAAGTTCGGGGACGAGCATTTCCTTTTCTTCAGCCTTCACAGCCATTAAGTCATTTGTAACCAACTTTTGAAAATTTGAGTGATAATGTGATTACAGCAATAAAATGTCATTAAAGTAAAGAAAAATTGGAAAAATGTCAAAAAAACCAATGTGGCAGGAGGTTAGGAAATCCCCTTCCATGTTTTTTTTTGGAAAATGTACTTTTAGGTTTTCGAAAGAATGAGACAATTTCAAAGAATTACACAGTTATTAAACCACCAAACTTTAAAAAATCAGTTCAAAACTACCACTTTTATGAAACTGTGAAGTTTTTAAAGCGCTTTTCGAGAAACCTCCTTAATAGAAGTACTACCTAACTTTGAGCCGATTTATATCATTTCCTGTGAGAGATATCAAGAAGTAGTCAACTGAAAAAAAACTTATCATGATATTAAAAGCAATTCCTTAGTTGACCACTTTTTGATACAGGAAATAATATAAATTGGCCCAAAAAGGAAAATCAGGGGATACGGAAAGCTTTGTAAAACTTTTTTTTTCAAAGTCAGTAATTCGGAATGAGTGACCAGTGATAAAAAAAGACTAATCGATTTTTGTTCATTTCAATTTATAATCAGTATTATTGGAAATAGATTTTTGAATTCAAGTTCAAATCCAGTCATTAGCTCAACTACACATCCCCATATTCTTCAACCCCAAAATGATTACCCAAAATTCCTCTGACTAGTGGTCGTAATTGAAATATGATCCGGATAGACAAACGCAGTCAACAGACGAATCTGCGATTCCATTATATTATCCCGTCGTGAGATGTTTTTTTGAATCCAATCCAAATGGAGATCTTCATTTGGAACGATATCCGTGTGGACTTGATTCCATAATTCCGATGGGCATTCCACAGATTTTTGACGTTTTTTGGGATATGGAGTCGATGGAGAGGACATACTGAAAAATTGGGGCATTCAAATCAATGGCAGTGGTGGCCAAGAAAAATTCAAAAATATATAAAAACAATGAAACATGATTATTTCAAAGCAATTTTTAATGATAAGAAACTTCCAGATGATGTTTAGTGAAGATTTGGTAACTTTAGATGTCTGAGAAAGTACTTGGTACGTGTGGTTCAAAGAAGTTGTCAGCTACAAAAACAGAGTTTTCTAAATTTTGTTTATAACTTCTGAAAGTTTGAAACGAATTTCCTCAACTTACTATAACTGTGAAGACTTTCAAGGTGAAACAAGTATTTTGAAACCGGTAAATTATTTTTTGTAGAAAATTTAGTTCCACTCACCTGGTCGTCTCATTTGAATCCTTTAACTTTGCATATTCTATTGGTACAGTATCCTTCCAATGAAAATACAAATTGAGACCCATAAATCCAATTACAGAAACCAAAATCAAGCATTTGACAGTATTCCGATATTGACTTATCTGGAAAAAGGAAATCCTGACTTCAAACTAATTTATCTGGGTTACTGTAAGAGATATCAAGAATTAGCCAACTTTTAAAATGTTTGTGATGATATGATGAATTTTTTATCAGTTGACAACTTTTTATATCTTTAACGCAAATGAGATAAATTGCTCAAAACTTGATACCTTCGAAGGTGCTTGACGGTTGCCGATATATGGAAACTCGTCTATGATAAAATAACAATTTTTCAAATCTTACCATGTTTTCGAAACCGTTATATTTGATGTTTGGAGAAGAGTTGTAGAGAAAAAAGCCTTAATTTATTCCTGAAAATCAGAAACAGCTGAATAAACAGAAAATCACATCTCGATCATTTTTTTTCAGAATTCCCAAAAACAAACTGACAACAAAAATTGAAAAATAACTGTTTCCAATTCTCTAATTCGAAGATTCAAAATTAGCCACGCCCACTTTTCCGAGATTTCAATATTGAAATCGGGAATCGTTTTTGGAGAATCCTGTCTCTTATTTTTTGATGTTTATCTGGATGAACGTTTTTCCTGAAGAAATATCTATTCAAAAGATCGAAAAGTTCTCGATTTTTGTTTTTTTTTTTGGAATATGGAGATTTTAGGTTTTTAATAGTACTTCGGTGTTACTCTAAACGATAAAAGTTAACCACGACCTAAAAAATCAGTTTCAAATTTTCACTTTTGTGAAACTGTGAAACTTTTTTTGCACTTTTCAAGAAACCACTTTAACAGACGGACCCCCTAACATTGGCCAAATTTATCTAGGTTTCTGTAAACAATATCAAAAAGTGGTAAACTGATAAAATATTCTTGACATTATGATAAACTTTTCATCGGCCGACAACTCTCAGGTATGTTTCACAGGAAACTAGAAAAATTGACTCAAAGTTAAGGTTACAAGTTCCTGTTCCTGTTCCAGAGTTCTTATCCCACTAGATTTTTTTCATTAGAAATCTTTTTTGTTTTATCGTCATTCGAATCTCTGTCAGAAATTTTCTATTTTTTCAATTTTCTGTCTAGACGTTCTAGATTGAAACAAGATAGTTTTGTGTTTCAGTGAATCTAAATCTTCTACATAAAAAACCAAAATCAGTGACTCGTTATCATTTGGTTCAATTGGAAAAAAAGGGACTCCTAACTTTGCCTAATTTTATTTGTGTTCCTGGAAAAGATATCAAAAAATGGTTAACTAATGAAATATTTGTGACCTTTTGATAAATGTTTTATCAGTTGACTAGTTGTTGGCATTTTTTACGAGATAAGCTGTCCTAAAGTTGACAAAATTTAGTTGTGATTGTTCCCAAAATCATAATTACACCAATCCTGTCCAATATTATGAAAATCCTGAAAAATTTTAGTTTCAACAAATTTTCAAATATAGTTTTCAAGTTTGGCTAAGCTAAAGCACGTCCTCCATTTTTAAAGTAAATAGACTGAAAGGTACTATTTGGAAGTTTTTTTTTCGGTTTCACTCAATCGACATAAGTTTATCCATTAAGTTTGAGCTGATTTTTTTGTGTCGATTGAAAAATATCATGTTACACACTGGAAGTAAATTAGGTGTAGATTTATTTTGATTCAATTTTTAATAAATCTATGTTTGTGGAATTGTCTGAATTTATTCCTAATAGAGATACAAACAATCGAGAAATCGGTTTATCGAAAATCTGAAAAAAAAATTCTGTTTCAATGATCCTAAGACTTTTCTAGACACCTATTGGTGTGTTTACCGATTTTAATCGCCTTACAATTAGTCTCAAATTATTAAAACATTTCAATATATAAGACCACCGAACATTATCTAAAGAACCATCTTCAAACAAGATTTTATTCATAAAAATCTCTCCCGGAGATCGAAAAGTTCGCGATTCCTGAAAAGTTTTGTGTCGAAAACGTTTTTGATGACTATCTCGTTTTGGTGTTGATGTTTCAGTTGTTCATGGGACTTCCTCAATTCTTCAAGTACACGAATCGCCCTGAAACTTTTTACAGTTTCAGATGTATCACATAATTTCGAATTTTCGAAATATTCTAATGCGACGTTACGGAACATTTTCAGATTCACACGGTATACTACGATTGGACGTAGCAAAGATATTGGATTACTGTCGCCCATACTTGGAACGGGCCGGGCCGGCCCAAAGCGCCAATTTTTTCCCGGCTCGGCCCGCCCTTTCTCAGTAAAAAAAATTTCCAATGAAAAGTTGGGACATTTTTTTGAATTAAAAAAGAAAAAAAGTTACATACTTTTTAAAATTATCAAAGTAGAAAGTAGTCAAAAATATAGAGTTTTTGATTAAATTTTTGAAAACATTTTAAAATTTTCGAAAATTTTTTTTAAAAAATCAGCTTATGTACAAACAGCGGGCCGGCCCGCGACCCGGCCCAGAATTTTGCAAGTATGCTGTCGCCGAGTATGTGAAAAGAGATATACCAGCTATGATAAAATGATTTAGCTTTCGAACCAAAAAATCCCAGTTTCAGATTTGTTTCTTCACTGGATAGTTTTCATTACCAACCAATGCTTTTTTAACATTATCGTGATGTTTCCAGGCACTACTGATTCCAACATTCTCGGTTCTGTTTGGTTGAATGACCCGAACTATACAAACCTCGTAATAGTTCCAATAGAAGATTCGGAATTTATGAAAAACTGGCAAAACCCAATGTGTTCTTATTAACGCATTTTGAATTGCGAAGAAATTGCAGAAATATCGAAACGGAGAATTTGGAAATACATTTTTAGAATAATTTTGAATTTCAATTAATCCGATTAATTCAATAAGCTCGAACTGCTTCTGAGTAATTGATTCACTGATTCACTGATGATCAGCTATTCATAAAATAACAGCGAAAATGAATAACTTGAAACATGACAACTTAAGAAATCAGGTTCCTGTTTCAAAACCTCCGAAAAAAGCTCCATTAGGCGTTGTTGATTATCCATAAAAAATAGATCAAAATAAAATTTGGGAGATTTATTTATTTATTTATTACGACCTTCCGTCGTGGAAAAGAAAAATCCGATCTCAATTGCCTAAACAATGAACTAACGACAAAGATTTTGGCGAGAATTAAGTTTCTGGAAAAATTAAAAAGCTTGATTATCCTAATTTTGGTAACTTTCAAAAGCAGCAATAATAAGTTTTTAGTTCGAATAAGTCGGAGATTTGAAACATTGAAGTCATGGTATTCCCTAAAAATTTCACTGTTCCTAGTAGCCGATAAGACATTTATCTTTCCTTCCAATGTCAATAGGTTTGCGTCTAAGTAGTTATGGTGACTTTCAAGTTTATTTGTAAGGAAAACGTACGATATAAAATTAAATCTCTTTGACCTAAAAAATATAACTAAAACAATTAGAAATGTTTTTTTTTTTGATAAAGTTTCTTCTTCATCTTGTTATCACACACAATCTGATACAGATCCGTTAGATCCTTGAATTTTTCAATGTCTGATTCCTCGCACTCTTTTCTAGATCTCAATTTCTCTACACAGCATTGAATGAAGCCATTGACTCTGCATCCGAATAAGTGATCGTCGCAATCAGATTTGATTTTTTGATAACTTTTCTAAAAGAGGAAAAATAGTTCATATGTAGGCTTGCTCCCCCGTAGCTCAACTTCAACGTTGGAGAAAACAAAAATTTAAAAAAAAACTAACTTCATCAAGATACAGTTGCTGTTTTCCAATCTCAATGATAAGCTTTGCTTGCGCTTGCTCTGCTTTGGAACTCTAATCGATTTTTTGGACATTTGAGTTCTCCCACACTGTCATCCAACTTCTTCATGGACTCTTCCATCTCAATCAAGACATCTGCCGGCTTGAAAAATTTGCCTCTAGCTGGTTTTGTCTGGAAAAAAGAGGGTTATTGTTAAAGATTCGTGTATTGCAATATCTTAGATAAAATGTACTATTGAACATTGAGAAAACTTGCAAACTTGCTGTACCGCATTAATTTTTGAAGAGTCCGCATTCAAAAGTCAGCAGCATTCCTATTGACATTGGAAGGAAAGATAAATGTCTTATCGGCTACTAGGAACAGTGAAATTTTTAGGGAATACCATGACTTCAATGTTTCAAATCTCCGACTTATTCGAACTAAAAATTTATTAATGCTGCCATTGTAAGTTACCAAAATTAAAATAATCAAGCTTTTTAATTTTTCCAGAAACTTAATTCTCGCCAAAATCTTTGTCGTTAGTCCATTGTTTAGGCAATTGAGATCGGATTTTTCTTTTCCACAACGGAAGGTCGTAATAAATTTTTCTTATCTCAATTCTTTTCATATTTTTCTAGATCATTGAATGAAGGAAACAATCACTATTTAGTTATTTACCCACAAAAATTAAAAAAACAAAAAAATTGGCCCAAAATAAACTATTTCTTTTCGAAAATTGTTCGTACAGGCCATGAAACATTGCAAAAATTATAAATTAATTTTTTTCCGATTAATAGCTCGGCCACGGCCATGGACTGATGACGTCATCGCTCGCAAATTGTATTTTTGTGATTTTTTCCGTTTTTCTTCGTTTTTGCTCA